GAGATCAATGAAAACAGCTACCACATAATTTCCTGAATCAAGTCCTCTCTGGATTGAATCTATCACTTTTTGTATTGTAGAACTTTCAATTAGGCTGAAGATGGTCTTTTATAAGACCGAAACATGTCCCAAATGATTATGTTACAACATCATTAAAATTTCTGGAGATGACTCGAGCATTCCTTCCTTCCTTTTATATAATATATTGTAGATTACAAATTAATTGAATAATCTAAAGTTGAAGTGTACAGATTCATTCCCATTGTTCATGCGTTGTTTTCTGTGGTACTCACATTTGTCGAGAACCGATGATGAAATCGATTGTTTTTTCGGGAAATTTTCTCACATCTCTTGCGAGCAAAATATATTGTTTGTAGAACGGATGAGTTTGATGAATAAGTATTTATAGGTGCGAACGTAACAATAACCTAAGATTCATGGACTAAATCCCCCAAGGAGACAAAATAATTTCTGTTCCATTGTAAACTAGTATGTCGTTTTCAGTATTGGTCAGAAAAATAACTGTTATGTGTATTGGCATCAATTTTCTCACCTGAAAGTGGTAATGGTAGACCTTCCTTTCACAATTCGATCCATCCATGTTGACTAGAAACTCTCTTAATGTATAATGTGGTGTGTGGGACTCCAACAAATTCCTCACTTTCGCTTTTCCATACTCTTTCATTGAATTGAGGTCTGGCCAATACCTGTTGAATAAAAAAAAGTACTTCACAATCACAAAATACCAAAGAGTACCTTTCAAATTCATAATGTCAGAAAAAGGGTCTCAATGTAGGAGCCAAAATTTTTTTGTTAAACAAGATCAAACCTCAAGTATTCTAGAGGAACGTGTAAAACTCCTCAAACGATCACTCATTCAACGGGACGAGAGGATTCTTGTCAACATGAGTAGCAATCAGGCCGAAGCCTCTAGCGACGGCGGCCCATCAAACGTAACAAGAGGAATCTTGTTGACATGGGTAGCTGGGGTGATGAGGATAGCCCCATTAGGTCGTACATACGACCCTGATGCCCCACCAATCGGGTTGGACTCCAGGGGCAGAGATTTCCAAGAACACCCCCGGACTACGGTAGAGGAGGTAAAGAAGAATCCCACTATGGGTCAAGTGGGAGGAAATCTTGCCTGCCTCGGCGGGTGAGCAGCGTTTCTGCTCGGGCACTGACACTGCAGAGCCAGTAGTCTGTTTCATCAGACGGCCTCACCATTGGTATAATAAAATGGTAGCAGGAGAACATGCCGTTACATAACGGAGATGGCTCTAGCGCGCTGATTTGGCGTATCCAAATCTTCCATTTCTCCCTAGGCTGTGCTGTCGAGATGTGGAAAACTCTAAAAGATATGAAAGTTACGCCTAACAAATCCACCGAAGTTCCGCAACACATTGCTGATGATGTAGACGGAATCAATAGTTATTTCGCATCAATAGCAGCAAATCTGAATGAAGACTGCACTGAACTTATCAATCACTATGATTCGGTCAAATTTAATGATACAGTGAACTTCGAATTAAAATTTGCATCTGTTAGTGATGTGAAATTTTTCATAATATCAAAAGTGATGCTGTTGGTATCCATAGAATATCTCGGACTATGATATCATACTGTTTGCCAGCAGTTTTATTACCAATCACACATATTGTTAACCTCTGCTTAGAGCAAGGTTATTTTCCATCATCTTGGAAGATAGCACTAATTCGTCCTATTCCTAAAAACGGCGAGCCTAATAGTTTTTCAGATCTTCGTTCTATTAGCATCCTCCCAATTCTATCCAAAGTCTTAGAGAAAATCGTGTACAAGCAACTCTACGATTACTGTAATTCAAATTTCATCATTCCTTTTCAGCAGTCAGGGTTCAGGGAGGGATACAGCACTGCCACGGTAATGCTAAATATATGTGATGATATTATCAGAGAATGGGATAACCATAAAGTTACAGCCTTGGTAATGTTAGATTTCACGAAAGCATTTGATACTTTAAACCACCAACTTCTACTTTCTAAGCTGAAATATTATGGGTTGAACTTGACAGCACAAAACTTCTTTCGAAGTTACCTGAGTGGAAGAAGTCAAATAGTCAAAAATAACAATAGCGAATCTCAATCACTCAGATTACATAATGGTGTACCTCAGGGATCGATTCTGGGACCACTTTTATTCCTTATATATACTGCTGAATTATCTAATTGCCTTTCAGATTGTAGAAGCCACTTCTATGCTGATGATAGCCAATTATATTATAGTTTTTATTCCGAAGATGCCTATTTAGCTAACTATTTCGTCAACAAAGATTTACAAAGAATTATCAACCTCTCTAAGCAACATAATCTTCATATTAATCCCACAAAATCCACTTATTTATTATTTGGCAATGAATGTCGAATTAATCGTGTGAAGAATGATATCAACATAGTCATAGGAGGTGTCACTTTAACACTAGTATCAGCAACCAAAAACTCAGGTTTAATTATTGACTCTAATTTGAAATTCTCGGAACACGTCAGCAAATCTATTCAGCGTGCTTACGGGTGTCTAAAATAGCTGTAGTCAAGTCGACAATTTCTGTCTTTCGATTTAAAGAAGAAACTGTGTGATCAACTAGTTTTTTTCTAATTTCAACTATTGCGATATAGTATATGGTCCATGTATCGACTCCTTTGACTGTTATCGAATTCAAAAAATGCAAAATAACTGCACTAGACTGATTTGGGGCTTGCGAAGATTTGATCATATCACTGAATATATTTCATCTCTTGGCTGGCTTTGCATGAAAAAACGTCGTCTTCTACATGCCACTACTGCTTTCCATAAAATTATCAACGGGAAACGTCCATATTACCTTTATGAAAAAATAAAATTTCGTCATCAATTGCATAACCTCAATATAAGGAATCTTGCTACTGTGAACATCCCACACTACTCCACCAGTAAATTTAAAGCATCTTTCTCCTACCAACTACCACTTATTTATAATGCTTTAGATGACAATGTTAAAAAACTGAGTATGAAGTCATTCAGAATGAAGCTGAAAATAAAATCCTTGATGAACAAAGAACACAGTCTACCTAGCTGCACAGATTACTTCTACATTTATCTAATATTTCCACAATTCAAAAAGTAGAAAAGTGAAGAGTTATATCTAAGAATAGAAATATGATTTAGTTTGTTTTCTTGGAAAATACCTTGTAATACCTACTATTTATACGAAAGTATTGCCTGTATACGAAACTGGTAGGAGAGATGATCTGAATAGTTATAGATCAATTTCTGTTCTGCCGGTTCTTTCAAAAGTTATAGAAAAAATTATGATATTATCGTCTACGTGATTTTCTGAAAAATAACAATTTGTCAGTATGGATTCCGTAGATCGAAAGACACTGAAGTAGCCGTTATGGATGTTATTTCAGATATCCAATTACGAATCGATGAAAATGATAAATGCGGTTTATTGTCATTAGATCTATGCAAAGCTTTTGATACTGTCAACCATAACATTTTATCAAATAAATTATTTGCAATTGGTGTCAGAGGAAAAATTCATGATTGGTTCCAAAATTATCTATCAAATAGAACACAATATGTTGATGTGAGTGGTACTTGTAGCTCCTTAATGAACATCTCATGCGGGGGACCGCAAGGGTCAGTCTTGGGACCAGTTTTATTTTTAATCTACCTGAATTCAATATCAAACTTGGAATTGAGAGGAAAACCCAAATTATTTGCAGATGACACGACATTGATTTATTTTTCCAAAGATTCAAATAATATTATCATGGACATGAAAAGTGATTTAGAGAAAATATCATCTTGGTTACAAGTTCATAAACTATCTCTCAATTATAACAAATCCTCATATATGTACATAGCAAAAAAAACACTGAACATTTCGAATAGAACACTATCCATCAACAATAAACTCATCAAATGTTACGAAATTTTTAGGTCTTTATATTGATGAACGACTATTGTGGAATAAACATATAGATCATTTGAGAAACAAACTCAATCCCATTACAGGCATTTTATTCAAAATATGTAATTTCATTTCTACTAGATACTTGAAGAGTATTTATTTCCCTCTTATTTACTCAAAATTTCAATGCCTAATATCTATATGGGGAAGTACCAATATTTCACGTTCGAGTTCACTAATGAAATTACAAAATAAAACATTGAAGTGTATTTTCAATTTAAATTTTCTCGAACCAACCATGAATTTATACAAACCTAGAGATTTATTAGATCCGACATCACTTATACAAACTTAAAATATGTTGTTTCATTCAATTTGTCCTATATACATTGAAAATTTCGAATTTAAATTTCAGTGAAATTAGTTCATTACATGATCATGGAACAAGACAATAAAATTTACTGATAGCAAATACGTATAAGTCAAATATCGGCAAACAATCCATTTTTCACACAGGAATCGTTCTATACAACTCATTACCAAGTCAATTGAGGAATATACAGGAAGCAAGTAGATTCAAAATTAACTTGAAAATATATCTGCTTCAGAGACTTTGATAATTCCATTTCTTATTTGAATACCTACTTATAAAAAACAAGGATATTGCATGATTATTTGCATTTTTTTTACTTGTTATATCTTATCATTATTTCATAATTGTATGTATAACATTATGTATCCCTATTATAAACAACTATGTTTCTTGGGGTGAACTTTTCACTGACAGATGAATCGCAGAATTATCCCCATCATTCGCGATATAATTCATTCATCCGTGTTTGGCGTTTGAAATTGTTGGCGTATACTTTTCAATGAGTTATGAATCTCAGAGTTATGCCCACCATTCGCGATTTCATTCATATATCTGTGTTTGGCGTTTAGGATTGTTATCGGACGGTTTTCAATTAATCATGACGGACTCGAGGTGTCCATCTAATGTCATTTGATAGCAAGTCCCTTACCTGGCGCACTTGTTCTTCCCTCTTTCAACTTCTTTGGTGGTCATCACGATGACCCTGCAGTTCTCCTGCCACACCATCTGCCAGAAATCGGCGACGGTCGACGGCAGACAGCCCTGCGTCGCGACGTACACCTTGCCGCTGGGATCGCCGCCCAGCTCGGCGCCGAGGTTCTCGTCGACCTTCCATCGCACGTAGTTGGCGTTGATGTAGTCGGCGCCCGGCGTCTTCGGGTCGACGTCTTTCAGTTTCACTCGCGTGTCGTCGACTGAAGCAAGAAAGAACGTCCAAAGATAAGTATAAATTTGATATAGATTAATAGTTGAATATCTGGGAGTGCACTTAGATCAAAAACTAAACTTTAACCATCATACCCAGTTGATGAAAAGAAAAGTGCATCACAAGAGCTAAACATTTTCGAAGCCTAACCTACAAGAATGAAGGAATTAGCAAAAGAACTGCAGCACATATTTACAAAACCATTTGCCGCCCAATTCTTGAGTATGCTAACCCAATATACATAAACACGAGGAAGACGGCACTGAACAATTTGGAAGTAGCAGAGAGCTAGCCTGAGAGCCATTACCAAAATCCGGCACCCTCAAAATCCCAATCACCATCCATCAAACGAATTTCTATATCGGCTGACCAGGGTGCAACCAATTTCTGAGAGACTGAAAAAGCTAACATTGAAGTTTTCCTAAAACGAGTCCACTCTCCAAATTATCCGATTCCAGTGTTTGAGAGAAATTCCTTCAAACTTCTTGCCTCACAATAGACTTTTCTTCTGTTTTTTTTTACACTAGCAAATTTAATCAAAACATAGACAAATTATTTACATAAAAGACGCGTAAGAAGTGCTGCAAAAATCAATTCAGGTCCGTTACGATACATTGGAGTAATTGAATGCCAATTATTCACTACCAGTCCAGTAGCCCATTTTGGATGCACAGAAATCAAAGAGCTTAAAGGGCAATTATTAGTCATAATGATGAAGATGGAAAGCCATAATTTCGAGTGACAATGGAAAATGAAAAAACTCCACCGCCCCATGTGAGAGTCGAACTCACAACCTCTGAGTTACATGCCCAACGCTCTGCCAATTATTGAGCTAACGGGACATCCGTCGATCAATCGGCAGGGAGGTCGAGTTCTCATCACACACCAGGCGGCAGAATCCTTCCAACACCCGAAGTCACTCGAAATCATGCACTATACGAAGCATTGCTGGCAGAATGGTACTATATACAGTCTCCATATTTCCCCGTTCGTCCTCTTGCATTGTCTTTCCTTGTATAGAATAGAACAGAATAGAATAGAATATATTACATCCATGGTATACAAGTTATGGACACGTCATACAAAGAAACAAAGAAATTACAAACAAAAATTACAAGGGATAAAATCATTAAAAATCAAGAAAAATTAAAATTAAAATCGCACCAGTTGTCTACAAGAGTCGTTGATCAACTCACTGAAGTGGTTGATTCTGTAGAGACTCATTCTGACAAGAATCTTTCTCAACGTTTTTTTTAAAACGATCCAACGGCAGATCTCTGATATCTGTAGGAAGAGAATTGAAAAGAGATATTCCTATGGATTTGCTCTTTTCTAATCTCCTTTTATGAGGTACAATGTTATGACCATATCTGGTACTATAATCATGAATGTCTGAATGCGTAGTGAATGTATGTATATTTTTTCTAACATGTATGAGATTTTCGTAGACAATTTGTGAATATAAGGTCATACTAAAGCTTGAAAAAATGGTTGGCAATGTTCAGTATAACTAACCTTTGCAATGCTTCGTACAGCCGCTTTTTGTAGTGTAAAAACTCTTTGTAAGTGTGTATAGCTTGAACTACCCCAGCATAGCAAACCATAGCTCATCACTGAATGAAACATTGCATAGTATGCTGTTAAAGCAGCTTCTTGGCTTGAAGTTATGCGCCTAATGGCATAAACTGAATTTGCTAATTTTCTGCAGATGTTGTCAACATGTGTGGCCCAAGTAAGGGATGGATCTAGATAAACTCCCAAGAATTTTATTGAATGTGATCTAGTTGAGTGGACATGATAATTTGAGAATAGACATACCTCTGTTTTTGTTTCATTCAAAAATAATTCATTGTTATCAAACCATTGTTTTGCGTGGGCAGTAACGTCTGCTGAAATATCGTCAATGTCTGTGCATGTGGGATTCAGGTGAATAGAAAAGGACGTATCATCTGCATACAATATTGTCAGTAATTCATGTTTTGAAAGCATGTGTGAAGGCAGATCATTGGCATAGATTAAAAATAAAAAAGGACCTAGTATGGATCCCTGTGGTACACCCATTTGATGAGTCGTTCTCGACTCACATTATTATTGTTGTAAACTCTTTGTGTTCTATTTCTACGGAAATGTCCGAAGGTAATCATACATAGAAGTCAGTCGTAATTTTTTATCAGTTGCTCAACCGAAAAGATACATATGATGCTCAAGATGGAAAGCCCTAATTTCGAGTGACAATGGAAATGAGTCAACCCAACTTCGGTTCGAATCAATATGGCGCCTTTTGGCACACAATAAATAGAATCAATAGCATTATGCAACCAATAGATACAACGTTATGAAATATTGTTACTCATCTTAATTTCAGTCAACATTTTTCTCAACAGCTGCGTGAGTGCTGAAACGGTAAAATGGGGACACCAGACAATATTTTCACTCACATGGTAATATATTCTTGTATCTATTCTTATTCCTATTCTCTGGTCTGACGCCCTCTTTCCTTTGATATAAATGCTTGAACTCTTGTTGCTGTAACGATTCGAATTCCTCCCAAAAACCAGCCTTTCCAAAACTATTCGGTCCATTTTCACTCTGAAACAAAAATTCAAAGAAATCGTGAATAGTATCATCAATATTTTTCTATCCCGATAGGTAAAAGCAAACACAATTTATGTCGGGTATTATTCGAACAAATACATTTTTGTCTTTTCAGCTAATTCTATTTTGTAAAATTACAAGAATTCAATAATCTAGATTAGTTCAAAAGTCTGAGGCAACCTTAGAAGATATTTATCTATTCGAAATAAATTCCGTAAAACTTGACATTTTAATAGTGATTTTAGCAAATTGTGATTATATCAATAAATTATTTTACATCCCTGTATCCGTTAATATTAAAAACAAATAATCGAATAATTCTTGTAGTGAATCATCAACTACAGATGATAAATAAATTCACCGGAAGGGTTCTGTAATAAGATGACGAAGAAGGTAGATGTTATTGATGAAATGACTAAGTCGAAGGTGAACTGAATTGTAATAATAATGCTGATGTCGTATTTTTAGGAATTCTGTGGAAATCTTATCGTTTGTTATATTCATTTCTTCAGTGTAAACATTCGTTCAGAGGTAGCGGTAACGCCATCTACTATCTTCTTATTTGAAATGCAGTATCGTAAATTATAAAAACAATTGACATCATCTATCCTCTCTTAAATGATGTGAATTTGATTCTCATGTGAAATGTCACTCAACTGACAGCTGTCAACGACTTTCAATGACAACATATATACTATTCACAAGAAAGTGAACATGTCAGGCGAAAAAACCATTAATTAGGAAATATGTGGTAGTATTCGATAATCTAATGAATTAACCAAGGTAAAAAAAAGACAATTCTAGCCTAATTTAATTTGTGTGCTTGAAATTGGATAAACCGACAAGCTCACGCTTCAGGTCCTCACTCAATAAAGATAATCTATCGATTACTTAAAAAAAACATGCGAACGTAATAAATCAATTTGATGGTTTAACGAGTATAATTCTCCTGTTTAATACAATTATCATCCCAATCAACTGATAATAAATCATGAATAGCATTGAAGGATGATATTAATCGGATTGTATACGTAATTGAATAAATTCTTCAGATTTCAATACAATCATGCATGAAGTTCAAACAAAAAACTACTTAAATGAGGTAATTGAGGTGATTATTCAAGCATACATAATTGCTAAGGTAATATTTGGTCTCCATACCGCAGATTACAATAATTAGGTAAACATCAAATGCATAATTGATTGTAGCTTGAAAATTGTTTCATGTAAATAGATTCTTGAAATAAAATTAACATAAATGATGTATAATATGAAAACTTGATCATGATGATTCAAAATAATCAAGAGTAATTTCTTTATTTTCGACATGTAGGACTTTGATGTGGTGGATATCCAAACTATGATTCTCATCAGATTGTCTTGAATACGGTGGTGAAATATTCTACCCGCTTGACCAACATATGCGTAAGGACTAGACCAACATTTCAGTTTGTACAAGTATTCTTAATAAACTTCCGATCTAACATATGCAACACTCAAGTCCTGTTTATGTAAAAATGGAGCGACTGTTTCTATTTATCATTCAAAAAGAGTAGAAGTTTCGAAGAATGTTCACACCAGATAGCGGATAAAGTTCCACTTTACGCCAGACCGTGTATAACCGATATTTTTTCTGAGACGGGAAAAAAGTTTGACATTTCATCTCTGTTGATAGGTCATAAAATGTCACTATTGATTGATTCCTTTTTTTCCACGGGAAAAGAGTATTTTTCCTACGTGAAAAAGGTGAGCATTTTTTCCCGGATATATATACCAATAAAAAAAATATAGGGATCAGAATAAAATTTGAGGTTAGACCCCTTTTTCCACCCAAAGTTCCAAACTGTAGCGAATCTGACGTCACCTCTGTTCAAATTTTTGTGCGGAAGGCACAATCATGCGGATTTCAATCATTTAAATTGTTTTAAAGTGGCGAACTTATTTTTTTCTCGTTTTTTGTTCAATTTTCAGGATGGAATTTCTTGTTAATGAGAAGAATTAGGAAAAATCTGATATCATGGGAATATTCGTTAGACCGTATCATATCGATGTGCTGATTATATGTACTTATTTCAAAAACACCTTGTGCAATTTTTCGAAATCAAATCATGGAATTAGACAGACAGATATTTGAATACTCAAAAATAATGATGAAGATGTCTCCAACGCAGGTGTAAATTCCTGTTGAAAACTTTTCAAAAAATTTCACGGCGATTATTTCCTCATTTTAATATAAGGTAATGTCATATCAATAATGATTCGTCATTTTTCCTGTTACAGAAAAAATAGTGTATTATACACGAGAAAAATTCTCACGGTTTTTTGTCTGCCTCCGCGCTACGATCCAACCTGGAACTAAAATCTACTACTTTTTTCCCTTTATTTTTATGTTCTCGTTGTCACGAAAAGGGATATCCTGTAATGTTCAGAGAACATCATGAGAACCAAGGGAAATAAGGTAGGAATTGGTGTTCTTCTTAAATTTCTAGGAGTTATATGCCTAGGATAACACCTCCCTTGGCAATGTGATCCAGAGACTCGCTGTTCGTTGGCTGAACGAGTCTTTAGAAAGAGATGTTCTGCAGGTCTCCAAAGTGACCACGAACAGGTGCGAGGCCTCAACTCGACGGGTTAATCTCGCGGGGACTGCTAAGGGAAGAACAATTGATGATGTTTCAGAAGAGCATCGTCCATGAAAATATCTATGAAATAGAGCCAGATCGCCAACTTTTCTACGGTGTTCCAGAGAAGTGAGTGAGTTTGTGAGCGAGGCATCACCCACGAGACGAATTGCCCTTTATTGGACAGTTCCAGGGTATGTTTGGGTGCTGCACTCCAAATATGGAAACAGTATTCCAGGACAGGCCAGATCTGTGCCTTATAGATCATAAGCAGCTGACTGGAAGTTTTTGGGATGCACTTTTAGCAATTGATCTCACATGATTTCTCCAAGAAAGGTTATTGCTGATAGTAATACCAAGCATCAAAATGGATGTCTTCAAAGGTATAGTTACTCCTGATAAGCTTTATGTTGGGCACAGTGAGATCGGCTTTTCTAGAGAAAAGGCATGCTTGTGTTTTGATTGCATTGAAATCTACCAATTTATTGGATCCCTATTCGAGAATTGTTGCCAAGTCCATATTTATGTTGTCAACATTTCTTCCTCGGTCGTTTCTGATTTGCCTGGATGGTATTGGAGTCCTGGAAGAGAAGCGGTATGGAGGGTACCATCATCCGCGAAGCTGTGTACTGGACATGAAGTTGCTTCCAACAAATCGTTGATATGGAGTAGAAATAGTATTGGTGCTGGAATTGATCCTTGCGGAACACCAGCATTTATGATAAGAGAGTCAGATGAAACTCCGTCGACCACTACATGAAGAGACCTGTTTGAGTGAAAACTAGCTAGCAGAGAACATAGCTGGGGAAGAAAGCAATAAGATGGAAGCTTGGCAAGGAGTCCGTGGTGCCAGACTCGATCGAATGCCTTGGAGATATCAAGTGCAACGGCTAAGATTTCACCATATTTTTCGATAGATTGCTGCCATATATGTGAGACGTAAGCGAGTAGGCCACCAGTTGAGATCTGATGATGGAAGCTATATTTCGTTGATAATACCTGAATGTTCCAGGTATTTCATGAGCTCGATGTTGATACCTCTCCATGATCTTTGGAATAATAGATAGCACTGCGATCGGTCTGTAGTTTTTTTTTATCGCTTGGAGGGCACGAAAGGGAATCCCTATAATGTTCAAAGAACATCGTGCCTTCCTAGGGAGGATAGGGACAGGAGGTAGGTATTTGAATTTTTTTGGAGATTATATGTTGTTGGGAATACTTCCACAGGCAATGAATTCCAGAGCCTAGCCGTTCTATGGATGAAGGAGTCTTGATAAAGTGCTATTCGACATCTTTCGAGGTTGACAACGAAAGGATGTGCTGACTGGGCTTGTCTAGTTCGTCTGATTGGTATTGCTAGTGAAGGGATGATAGCAGTTGCTAGGTAGAGTCTTTTTGCCTTTTTTAGGAACTGGTTGTACTCTTGCAATTTTCCAGTAGGACGGGAATATCCCCAATTTGAATAATAAATAACCATAGAATATATATATAATATGTATAATAAATAACTATGAAAAGCTACTCTACGATCAATTTGGCAATTTTTTTCCTGGGCAGTTTTTTGCAGGTGAGTGTTAGTATACTGACATTTTGGTCGTGTTGTGGAGTGACTGAAGCTATCATGTTCATCATCGAGTCGTCTAAGAAACCGTAGTACCTGTAACTGTTTCACCCTGGAATGGATCCCCGAGGCGTTTATCCTAGTAGCGTTGAAAGGCTGCTTCAAATGGACCACCGTGCCCGATGTCTCCACCATCGGGTTCTTCTTGTAGTGTTCTATGAGGTCCGCCAGACTATTGAACTGTTCTCCGCCTCCGACGTCATACCTATTGTCCTGATCAAAGAAATATTATACGGGCTGGCCGGTAAACCATGGATCATATTCAAGCTGTTGATAAACAATCTATAACCTCTCTGAAAACCACAACTCGACCTCAGTAAAAAAACTTCGCTTTTCAAGATATTGGAACTTCTATAAAAAAAAACTCAGATCATTCTTTCATGCTCCAAGGAAATAAGGGCATATTATTATGTGTGGAAACATCCAATTTCTGACCAAACCAGAAGTAATCTTTTTATCTATCATGACTTTTTTTTTCTGTTCTACCCAGTGGCCATTGTTGATTTTTAGTAGCTATCATACTCTTGTTAATATGTCACAGTCAGCAGTTTTTTCGGAATGGATCGCCCTGTATGGAAATATATTTTCGGACTGCTATTCTTTCAACTTACATTCATATAAAGCTTGGCGTGCCTGTGATTGGTTGTTGTAGAAATATGAGATGAAATATGAATAGATAAAATAGATGTCTGATATTTGAGTTTTACTTGTTGACTTGTTACTTAACTATAGAAGGTGTACAAACTGTAGCCTTTCAGGTGCTTGATAATATCCTAACCTATCAACGATTCCCCTCTCAAGCAGTTTTTAAAAATATAAATATTTCTCAAGAAGGCTTGTCCTTCAGGGGAAAAGTAATCTGACAACTTGACAAATAAAACAAATATCATACATTTTTTTATCAATTATTATCTTATCTTAAAATTTCTGCAACTATCAGTCAAAAACACGCTTAACCAAACGTCATATCAATGTAAGTTGAAAGAACAGCTATCCGAAAAAATATTTACAAACATGGTGATTCATTTGAAAAAACTGCTGACTGCGCTATACCTACAACAATATAATAGCTACCAAAAATAAACATTGGCCACTGAGTAGAACATGGTAGAACGGAAAAAATCATGAGTATTGATAGAAAAAAAAAATACCTCTGATTTAGTCAGGAATTAGGTGTTTCAACACATATGCCCAACCTTGTATAACTGAATAGTAGTCATTTACGGTCTACAAAAAAACTATCCTCGGATTTGGATCTTTCATGACTTTTGAAACTCTGTTCTGTTTTTTTTATACCGCAAATAATGGTGCTATCAAAAAATTGTTACAACTACTAATCAGTAATATTTACCGAAAATAAGAATCAACATGGAATGCAACTTTTTTGCTTGAAACATAAAATAGTGATCTGAGATAGGAATTCAATTTTTGTTATAATGATGGGCCTTTCCAGTCATTTCTCGAAAAAATATATCTTGAAATGTATGGCTCTGGAATACCTCAAAACGATTTTCTGAGATTTTTTCTCAATCAGGTTATCTTATAAAAAATCATTGAAAACGCCAAATTGAACGAGCGAATTCAAACAATCAGACATGGCCGCGAAGTGTGACGTCAGAGCCCGAGCAATTTGGATTGGTGATTCCCTGACCTTCTTGCGAGTGCCAATAAAACAAGGTTAGTTCTACTAACCTTGCCAATAAAATGCACGAAGGACTCGACAATGTTGCCAATTTGGACAGAAAACTGTGATTAGTCGGATATCCATTCCTCGATTTTTTCATTGTAACAAATAATACAGATTCTGTTCGGTAACTCAATTAATAACTAGGCACCTGAAAATTCGTGGTATTGAAAATTTGCATTGCATGAATAGTTAGCTAGTTGATTTCTGTTGGAGAATTATTTAAAATTGTAAGTGAAATTTCATTTTATATTGAATTACATTGCAGATATTCATGGCATTCAGTTTCAAAGCCCTTCCATTGAAGTACTATCACCTATTATTTACCTACCTATAGCTATCTACCATAGGAAAAGAAACAAATTTTGAATTAATCAATACTAAACTACTTACTTTGTTCTATTCCCATTGATTTTAGTACAAGCGTCACTGCCTTCTTGTCAATAATTTTGAGAAATAAGAACAGTGAAGTTATGCGGGGAATGAGGTATTTTTAGCCTGGCAACATTGTATTAGCGCCAGTTGCTTCATCTCTTTCTCTTGTAGACATCGTTGCCAGATTATCAATTAAATTTTCCGGGAATGAGTGCTTGATCTGGCAACAGCGGAGTGATTCCCAGCCGTCAGAACTCCAACCAATCAAATAACGAGAAGACATTGACATCACAGCACAGCTCAGTAGCGTTTGAATTCACAGTTATTGAGATAGCATTTTTAATATTAAATAATTCATTTGTCATTCGATTTTCTCGATAAATATGTAGTCAGGATAACGTTTTTGACTTCCCTTCATAAGATTATAGCGAGAAAGGGTCGAATTTTACGATACTGGAAAGGCCCATTCCAATTATCTTGAAAACCGTGAGGTTTTTACCGAGGTCAAGTTGAAGTTTTCTGATAGGTTATTAGCTTTTTCATCACCAGCTAAACTATGATCCATAGTTTACCGGAAATATATTTTCTTCAAACGTCCCAAGATTTATAGATCAAACCGTCTGAATCATGAAGAGAAAGGTAAGATAGTCATAGTAAATCACCAGTCATCAGTCATCTCTGATTGTAATTTGTTCAGAATAATAGTTCATAATTTTTCTGAGAATTATATATTTCAAGTCATGTAGACTGAGTCTCAGTACTTTTGAAGTAACTGGAACCTTCATCTTTGATTTCAATACAAGACCTACAACACTTATTTGAATTTGAACACTCATCCCCATTTATACCCTACTTTCAGTGAATAATATAACATACAGAACAACGATTTTTGAAAATATCGATCTAAATATCTACCATTCAATTGGTATCGGATGACATAATTCTTATCTTTATCAAATCGCGAAATTGATTGCAAATGAACGCACACGTCAGTTTTCAATCATGTTGCTCAGGATAGTGATTGGCACAGGTGCCGTTCGATGAAATACGATGATTTTACATGCCTTTTAGTCCAGTAACTTTGTCACCTGAACATATGGGGGTAGTATGCGTCAAATCCGGTAGTTCTGATTTTTTGCAAACTTGTTCATGATCTTGGCCTAATGAATGTTCCAAGTTTGTGACTTCGAGCACCGAACGCAACTTTATCAAAAATCGAAAAAAACGCGAAAAATTCAAATTTTGGCGATTATAACCCTGAAGGACTAGTTTTTGAAAAAAATCTCTCAGGAGGTTTTTAAAGCAGATCAAATTTGCTACAATATGATACAAAAACTGTCTCTGTAGACCCAATAGTTTTCGAAGCCTTTCAAAGTTTATAATTCTTTTAGAACTTCGCAATTTTTTGCAACGTTTTAGGCGTCACTCGAATATACTCTAGCGGGATGAAGTTTCAATTACCTCCGACGGAGTGTGCTAGTACTGTTCGTGCGAAGTCACGAATGCGAACCACGGGACTTTTTAGCTGGCAAGATGGCGCCTGGTTGTAGGGCCATCACATATAATAATAATTGGTTTTCTCTCAGGTACCTGCTACACATCCTTTGGTTTTTTATGATTGGTTCTGTTGATACATCTTTTCTCTTGATGGCTGCAATCCACATTTCTCTTCTTATTCTTGATAGATCTTTTATCTGTGGATAATGCACAGAGTTTTCCACAGAATCACAGTAGGAATGTGAAAAAACTAAGCAAATTTTCCCGATCTGCACGGCTTCCACTATCCACCACAATACACGTTACCCACATTTTTCCTTTAAAATCATATTGAGTTTTCATTATTTACAATAAATCTAACCAAAACTGAATAAAAGAAGGTTTACAAAATCCACCAAGTCCTCAAGTAAACAAACGAGTCACTTGTTTGTTGGCCTACCAGACGTCATTTCTAAATGATTTGACAGGTCGTTAGATTGTTAGATGCCATCCCAATACGTCGATCCAGATCCAGACGAACCTCAACCGGGACCTTCCAAGAGGGCTGAGTTAATCTAATTTTTTGATCTTCAATATTACTCTATTTCCTAACAAATAAACTCATTAACTTTTGTTGTACCTACTTATCTTTTTTATTTCATTATTCGTAGCTCAGCTTAAACATCCTCATTCACACTCCTCATTTCCTTTCTTATCATCTCATCATAAAAGTACAGGGCTTCGATTGTATAATCAGGGTAAAAATCGAGGTAAAAATTCAATCAGAACGACAGGATTGCAAAAAATTGCGAAGTTCGAAAAATATGATAAAATTTGAAAGGCTCAATCTCGGAAACTAATGAGTCTACAGAGACAGTTTTTATCATATTGTAGCAAATTTGGTCTACTTTAAAAACGTTCTGAAAGAGTTTTTTCCAAAAACTAGTCCTTCATGATTGCCAAAAGCTGAAAAAAAAAAACGATTTTTTCGCAGTTTTTTCGATTTTTGACAAAGTTGTGCTCGACGCTCAAGGTCACAAACTTGGATTATTCATTAGGTCAACATCATGAACAAGTCTGCAAAAAATCAGAACTACCGGATTTAACGCATACTGTGATGTATAAAGTTACTGGATTATTTGGAACATACAACATTTCGTTATCAGATGACTGTCGAAAGTTGCTGCCGGCTCTCCTACTATAGATTTCCTGTTGTTGAGATGTGTTACTTACGGGAGTACACCTGATCATCACGTGGGTGACCTTGTCGTCTGTCCTCACTGACAGGACGAAATCTCCTGGTTTGGACTGACTTTCTCTAACCAAAAAACTCCCGTTCTTCCCTCTGTCCAGAATGAGTTTTTCCGCCTCTTTTCCCGATAAGCGTCCGTGAAACCACCTGGAACAGTAACAACAGTTAATTGTTGAGAGGGCAATGTAGGTATTCAACGAGCATATAATGATGGCTATTACTGAAGAATTTGAAAATGTCTGTACGAGCCGAGGACGTATGGCGTATGTAGTCAGTAACAAAGCCTACATACATCAAGGTAGGCCACTCATTTGATGTTTTCCAACTTACAGTTGGATCAAGAGCGTGAATATTGGTATGGTTATAATATACAGGGTGTATCTAAATAACACCGAAAAAATTCAAGGGGTGTTGCCTTGTGACATTATAGCAAATAAAGTTCACATAAACATGTATCCTCCGTTTTTGAGATACAGGATGTTGAAGTTGAAAGTATTGATTGTTTTTATTTATAACCACCCTGAAAGAGCTTTTATGGTGAGAAAGCCCCAAAATTTCAAAATGATTCTAATTGGGGTTATGGAGTATCTCAATGGAAGTCTTGAATACACATACATCAAAATTTAATCTGCTAACCTACAAAATAATTCGAAGGGAATGGGAATCACGGTGGATGAAAGAAAAGATGAGTAGATGAAAAGTTGGTGCCTTGGATAATTAGTTGTGTTCTATCGACCTGAAATATTGTCAGCGATGCGACGTTGCCGCTTATATTGAAAAGTAGCAACAACTTTGATGTTTTCATTGGAACACCCTGTATATCATTTCATCTTCAGATTCTTCCTGAAGAGCTGATTCCATCGATCTAGCACACTTGGGGTCTAGCGGGAATGATAACACAGATATAGGGTGTAAAAAAATCGAAATTTTTCAACTTTACGAATTTTTTGTGTCAAAACTATTCATATAATTTTCATGTACTATCAATTGATATTCAATTGAAATAAATACGGGGTGGTTCAGGATTAAGATTTTTGATTTTCTTACCTATCATCACCTTCAGTTATACGTCGGTAAACCAAACACCCTGTAAGATGTCTACCAGCCCTAAAATTTATGGTATTTGCCACAGAATCACCTTGAATATCTGTCGCACGAATCCAAAATATACAATTTTTTATTTCCTATGCCATGCCCAGCATATCAAAACGATTTGACTATTCAAGATGGTTGAAATATATCCACCCACAGTGAGCTGTCACATGGGTAATATATTTTCTATTTTATGTAAGCTCGACTAGTTATTAGCGTGTTTAATAAACATAAACAGAGACAGAAACATGATTATTATGCCATTATTAGGCAGTAAACATAAGGTAATCGTTATATCTAGCATCTTTAGTACCTATGAAAATAAACCCATGGCTGCTTCTAGGCATAGGAATTAAAAATACCAACATTGCCAACATTGAAAATTGATCGAAAATAAATAAATAGTACTTTTCAGTTCAATATTCATCAAGTAACTATTATTATTTTATTTTTTACTTCTTTTTAGTTTCGCTATCTATAAAAGCGTGTTTCTTCAGTTTTTCAAACTACCATTTATTTCAACTTCTTTTTAGTTCACTTGAATTTCCCAATTTTGACGAAAGAATCATAATATCCAACTCCTAAAACCCCAGATGAAAATTTTGAATAGAATCGGAACATAATTACAAAACTCGTCCGCAATATCGGATCTACCATCTTGAATTCCCTAATTTTGACGAAGGAATCATAATCTTCGATCCCGAAAACGCTGACTCACAAATCTTGAATGTCCAAATCCCGCCCTTTCCAAATTTTGACGAAATAATCATAATATCCGACCCCGAAAACACCCAGATAACAATTTTGAAGAGAGTCGGATCATAATTACAATACTCGTCTGCCATCTTGAATTTCCTAATTTTGACGAAAGAATCATAATCTCCGACCCCGAGAACCACCAGATACCAAATTTGAATAAAATCGGATCCTAATTACAAAATCCGCCATTTTGGATCCACCATCTTGAATTTTTTAATGTTGACGAAGAAATCATAATCCGCGATCACGACCCATAGGTAATAATTTTGAAAAGAATCGGAATATAATTACAAAACTCGTCCGTCATATTGGTTCCCAATCTTGAATTTCCAAATTCCGTCCGAATTTTCAAATTCTGAATAAAAAATCATAATCTCCGACCCCGAAAATCCCCAGATACCAATTTTGAATAGAATCGGACCATAATTACAAAACTAGTCCGATATATTAGATCCGCCATCTTGAATTTCTTTGGTTCTGAGCAAACAAACAAACAGACAAACAAACAAACAAACAAACAAACAAACAAACAAACAAACCAACAAACCAACAGAGAATGTGTGAAAGGCAGTTCTTACTTTCTCGATAAGTTGAAAGACAACTGCGTCCCAAAATGCAACATTTTCAATTTCGCCCTGTATCTCGAAGACGAAGCGTTTTATGACATTTTTTTGCCGCAAATCTCTATCTTTGAAAATTACTGAGATATCTCGTAAGGATATCAAAAATGGGACAGCCTGTACAGCCAGTGATGGTAACCTTTTATCATTTTCCCTTCACAAGTCCATAAAAAATCACTACATTGGAAACAAAATTCCTAAAATTCACAAAAAGTGCAGTGTCGTGTCAGTTTTAAACCTATAATTTTTATCTCGCTTTCGAACCCTTGAAAGACAAATCGTCACAAATCATATAGATCATAATGATCATATCCCTTCGTGTAGGGAATATAATAGCAGTTATTTTTGTCATAAGTCATCTGTGTTTGGGTCATAACATTTCAATTTCGTCCCCTGTGAATTTTGTGCCATTCTTGAATGTCCTAGAAGTATTTTTCTGAATTTCAAGAATTTTTAATCAAGCCCAAATAATCGCCAATCCAGAGTCCAGTGTGAACATAGTCTGTAGCTTCTCACTTGTTGAGCAGTTTAACCGATGGGAAAACTTCAGATATCCATTCACTATGCATTCCCAACTGAGATAATGCAATTCGACTCATTACCATCGAAAGGTAGGAAAGACTGAGTAAACATGGGAACTACATTTAGTCATATTTGGTATGGAGCAGACAACAGGTAGGTAATGTAAACTATTTATAAGAATGTTAGGAATTTGTTATTGGAATCAATTGAATGTTCGCCTTCGGCCTACTAAGTATTCGCTTTTGGAATTGATAATTTGCGTGGGATCTGACCACTCTGTGGATCTGACAGAAACAAGAAAAAATATGAATGATTTGTTTATTGTATCTTGTAAATATGATGATAATGATCAATTAAAATAATTGGATATTGGAAACGGTTTGTCGTTGAATTATGCCTTCGCTTCATTGGTTCTCTACGATTTGTGAATAATGTGATCAGAATAATGAAATAGAGATCTATTAATTGGAAAAAAACTCATGAAGTTGTTTCTATCTGGTAATAACAACAAAATATCATATAATATGTCGTAATTGTTATTCTATGGAAAGACTATAGTCGTCTCGATATAGTCGTGAATCTTAGAGATCGTTAAGTCTAGTCCCTGTTATACAGTGTGGACACTTCAACTGGAATGAAGTCGTTAGCGGAAATTTTCTGGAAATTCCCGACATACGTCAACGATTTGATGATGATGTATTTAAATTTTTTTTTCAACGTACCAATCGCTCAAAATGTGTGCTTTTATATTCCAGTGTTTTCATATAGCCGCAAAAATAAATTTAGTTTGTTTGCTGTATTCACAGTTCGGAACGAAATGTTATAGCAAACAATTTCAATTTTTCGAACAGTCAACGCCAAGAAAAAAAGAGCACAGTCATGTTCCTAGTCGATTATTCGTTGTCAAATCACGAGGGTTGTCATTTGAATTGTAAATCTTTAGGCGCAAGTCTCTTCGTGAATCTTCAGTCATAGGGCCGAAATCGTGATCGTGAAGTTTCAAGTATGATGTCGTAAATTAGGCGTCGTAAGTAATAAGTCAGAAGTCGTAAGTCAAAAGTCGTAAGTCCGAAGTCGTAAGTCAGAAGTCGTAAATCATAAGTCGTATGTCAGAAAATGTAAGTCAAGTGTCGTAAGTCAGAAATCATAAGTCGTAAGTCGTGAATTATCAGCAGTAGGTCTCATGTTGTTAGTGATGACGTGAGTAAATGGAAAACTCTTGCATTTATGGTATCGTATGACCCAGAGTTAGAAAAACATACTTGGACTCACTTGTAACTGAAGAAAACGAACGCTTTCCTGAACTCATTGATAGCCGTCGATATGATGATAGAGGCTGTCGGAACAGCCAGTACCGAAGGATCAGCTGACCTACGCCGCATAGTCCTAGTCATCTTACAACTACACTCAATCACCAAAGAAAAAAATCACAGGCACATACGTCAATCTCGATTATTTTTTTTCGGTAGCACGACCCTCTACGATCACTACTACTATCCCAAATCCCGTGAAAAATCGCGTTTTTCCAGAAAACGTGATAGCAGCACTTGATGGTAGATTAGACGAGAGCGAAACGAGTGGCGTTCGAAAACTAGAAGGCTGTGAGATGCCGCGCGGATTTGCTTTTTGTTTTACGCGGTTGCAGTGGAGGCGTCGGCGTTGAAGTAGGGGGAGGGAACTGCTTGGATATCCTTTGAGTCACCGGAAGTAAATCGGATGGCTGGGATGCCTCTTTTATGTTCCGGATAAGATGTTTAGAGTAGAATGCAAATGGTGTATTGGTAATACTTGCTCCTTTGCCTAGTTGCCATGAGTGCCAAAACACGAGGGGCAAACAACTCTTTAAATATGATGTACAGGGTGGCCAACTAAGACTCCAGAGTTCGATTTCTCTGTTGTCTTGAGAGATACAAAAAAATTCATGAATCAAAATTGAAGTAATAACCGAGCTTCACATTTCAAAATTTCTTTGAAATACACAGGGTGTTCCGTAAGGTCACAGCACATCAAAGCTATGTTTTTCTTCATCGGAACACCATATATTTTATTCCATTTTTGAATTCTCCCTGAAGATCTGATTTCAACGACGTATCATACTTAGGGTCTAGCAGTGAAAGTTACTGACATATAGGGTGTGCAAAATCGAGATTTTCCAAGTTCAGGATTTTTTTCTGTCGAAACTGTTCATTATTCGTCAAAACGGTTTACATGTCCCTATCTCAACTTTTCACTCACTATCAATTGGTGTTCAATTGAAATTGATACAAGGTGGTCAAAAAATCTGAATTTATAATTTGTTTGCATTCTACTCAGTAGAGTCGGAGTAATTTCGTGATTCGTCTAACTCAATAACAAAAAAAAATCAGAGTTCAGTATTCAAAAGGTTGTCGTTGGTATTGTTGGTAATGGTACTAATAATGAATAAATATTGAAACTGAAATTGAAAAAACAATGAGTAAAAAAGAAGGTGGTGCATTCTAGAAATTGCAGAAGATCAATAAACAAAAACAGTTAGACGAAGTTTTCAAGAAATGCCCTAAAATTCATTCATTTTTTCTAAATTCAAATGAGACAGAATCAGAACCGACAGAACCGTCTCCGGGAACTTCACGATCTCAAGACGGGAATGGTAAGTTAGGTGATTAAAGATACACTTCATAAAATAATCCTGAACAGAGAGGAAAAGATGCAAATTCGCTGTCAAGCTGATGCACTGGCAAAAAAAGTATCTACAATAGAGTTTGCTATTTTGGTTGTTTTCTGGTATGATATATTAGAGAGAGCCGATCAAGTCAGTAAGTCCCTGCAAAACTCAAGCATAGGCCTGGACCGTTACCAATATTTCATTGAGAAAGTATTATGAATGTTTGCGGCAAAAGTTAAATTTTCACGAAAAAGAGGCACAATCACTCTCGAAAGAAGAAGACCAGAATGCGAACCCAGGTATTCCTCAAAGCAGTCGACCATTTGGTGGGTGCAGTAAATATTCGTGCTGAAGCCTACAAAGATCTCTCTTCTACATTCGCATTTTTGTTCTCAATTGCATCTCTGCCATGATGCATCGTAGATAGAGCACGTGTTTTGATTGATGTATACCCAAATGTTGTAGATGAGTCTCTCGGCAATGAATGTGTTCAATTGAAATATTTCCTGAATTCTATTGCCGAAAAAAAAAAGTGATGAAATATTCAATACAAGATCACAGATACATATTGCAACGTGGAAGTAGCTCTAAGAATGTTCCTATTCCTGATGATTTGTAATGCCAGTGGTAAAAGGTCATTCTCAACTTTGAAAAGAGTTATGCCTTATGGGTTTTTGACAAAAAAAATTACAGTAAGATATGTTTCCCATGAAACTAACAGATTTTCAGTTGCTTTTGGATTTTTGTGGTGAAAATGGGGTGAAAATGATGCGACGAAATCAGGGACAGCATGATTTCAATCTATGATATGCTTTGACAAAAACATCATAGTTAGTAATTTTTTTCCTGATGAAAATAACAGATTTTCGATTTGCTCTTCAAATTTTGCAGTGGAGAATGGTTAAAATGATTCAGAATTCTTTCAAGGAGGTGTCATATAATGCCGGAATCTACGCCACTGGGTGTTTTCTCTTTCATCCGTGATTTTGTTATTGGCTGCTCATCTTAAAAACAACATTTGTAGAAAAAAAAACAGAATCATTGGTATATAAATTGAGAAGATATGTAATAAAAAAACATTCAGTCGCGCTAAAACATCTTATATTTCGATAAAAAAAGACTAAGGAATATTACTATGGTTGGCATTAAATAGAGGAAAAAAATTTATGGGGATACTGCTCAAGTTTGGTATGGGGTTCAAATACAATTTTAAATGTATACTTGAATACGACGTAAGCTGTAACTAAGCAATTTTTTTTATTTGATTTAAAAAAATGCAAAAATAATTATTTATGTACCAAGGTCGAAACACTGTCTATTATAGTCGAGTCATTTTTGTGTCTGATGATGACCTGTGGCCGAAACTATTTACACTACTTATTGAACAATTGTTCGTGGTCAACAGACTTTGGGACTTTCATTGCTTTTTCTTCTACAAATCAATTGGACCACTTAGAGAAATATGGATGGTTTCTACGATTTAATACAGTGTGATTATCGTGTCAAAAACAGCATCATCTGATCAGTTGATTTTCCGAAACACATCATACGTTATTATTCAGAACCTGACTTTTATAGTAAATTAATAGGTATTATTGTTTTTACTACCTGAAAATCACCATGAAGTGGGTAATATAAAAATAAACGTCGATTGTTATTTATAAACGGTATTTCCCATATGAAATCCCGATATTTTCTTATAAATAACATTTCGGTTTTGCATATTCCATGTAACGTGAACAAAACAGTCAATGATCAAGGTTGAATTTATAGTTCAAAGAAAGTACCTATTGAAGTATTCTGAAAAATATCGGATTTCATTGACTACCTAATTTCTTATTTATACAGGGCGTCAGTAAATAAGTGCGACAAACTTCAGGGACGATTCCTCGTGTTATTTCAGGAAATAAAGTTCACATAAATATATACTTTGCTTCGTTTTTGAAAAACAGGATGTTGAAGTTGGAAGTATCAATTGTTTTTATTTATAACCTCCCTGTATAAGCTATCATCGTGCCAAAATTCAGTATGATTGACGACTGACAAAGCCCCAAAATTTCAAAATAATTCTCAATGGGTATCTTTTGAGGCACCTACAATCTAAAGTACCACAAGGAATAAGAAAGTTTTTATTGCAATTGTTCAATTTAATAAAAATATGAAACTCAGAAAAACGCCCGTGAATATTAGTTTCAATCTAAATGCACCAAAAGAATCTCCATGTTACCATTAACGTCCATCCATCCATCAACAAAAGAAGGTATATAGATCGACAATCTATACTTTTTTCTTAGGCTGTAGACTAAAATTATCAATTGTAAGGAAGAAAAAACATAATTAGAAAAAAACAAATTTCTAGAAAAGTGAGATATACTTACACAAACACACTAACCTATTGGTGGAACAAAAATCTGATCAAGAAAATCTTGTGAACTAACAATGGAAGAAGGAAAAACCAGATTAGAAAAAACTAAAACAAAAAGAAAGTGATGTATACTCAACCCAAACAGACTAACCGATTAGTGAATCAAAAATCAGATGAAAAAAAAATTAATTGATAAAAAAATTAAAAAAAAAAACTTTTCCATGTGGTATTTGGAACACGGGACCACAGAATTAAAAGGGTTATGTCTGAGGACTGAGCAACTTGGATGAACTTTTTATACAGAAATAATGTATTCCACTAGTTGGTCGGCAGTGTAGAGAAAAAGTATAGTTTGCCGACTGGTCGACAGCCTATACACTATCTTAACAAAACGACCAAGTTTTATTGAAATTGATAGAAAGACATAAGGGCGTCGCCAGAGAGGGGCAGGGTGGGGCAGCTGCCCCCCCCCCCTTGGTTTAACGCTCACCAGTCACCCTGCTATCATTGAAACGACTATTTCATTCATCACATAATCTGACCAATCACAAGCCAGAGAAAACGTGTGCTTATCGCGAAAACTAGATGTTTTCAACGATGTAACCATGGGTAGCGAAGCGAAGTCTGTCAATTTGGCAAAAAATAATGACTGTACTTGTCAGAATGAATCATTCATTCAAAATAAATGCTTCTTTGCTTCGTGAACGTGAAATAGTCTCCACTCTGTTCTGAATATATTCTCATAATTCTTCATTTCCTTGTCAAATCTATTGTGTTGCCGTACAGCCCTACCTTTCGTCCTGACTCGTGGTGTTGCTCAGCAACACAATTTCGTGAACAATGAGGCGACAGAATTATCTCGAATATTAAGAATATCGTGATACTACTACTTATGATAACGCTCACTTTGAGCAAAGAACTTCGGAAAGTATATTTTTCTCCTGAAGTTGAGAAGGCTCTGAAGATCCTTGTTGCCTTTACCTTGTGAGATTTGTACAGTTGAAAGGTCATTTAGTAGCCTTAGGAGAATCAAAACCTGGTTGAGGAGCACCATGTATGATGCTCGACTCAATGGCCTCGCAATGATGAGTATACACAGGCAACATATTTTCAAAAACTTGAACGATTTCGTCAAAAAGTGACCAACGAATTCCCAAAGAACCCTAGAAGATTATTTTTCAACTGATTTACTGTACAGATTTTTTTCTGTTTTTTGATTTTCCCATTAAACTCTTTCTATTTGATTTTTCTCTTCAGTATTTTTATGGTGCCCCCCCCTATTTTTTCCGCTGGCGACGCCCTTGGAAAGACATTTGACTAAAGAATTTAAAAATCCGATGTTTCATTTAAATATTAATACCCTGTATCTTTAAAACGAAGCAAGT